AGACAGAGACAGAGACAGAGACAGAGACAGAGACAGAGACAGAGACAGTGACAGAGACAGAGACAGAGACAGACAGAGACAAAGACAGAGACAGAGACAGAGACAGAGACAGAGACAGAGACAGAGAGAGAGAGAGAGAGAGAGAGAGAGAGAGAGAGAGACAGAGACAGCGAGAGACAGAGAGAGAGAGAGACAGAGACAGAGAGAGAGAGAGACAGAGAGAGAGAGAGAAAGAGAGAGACAGAGAGAGAGAGACAGAGACAGAGACAGAGACAGAGACAGAGACAGAGACAGAGACAGAGACAGAGACAGAGACAGAGAGACAGACAGACAGAAGAGAGCGAGAGAGATGGAGAGCCGATAGACAGCGGCGCAATTGGTTACTTGCGCGTGCTTCGCGCTTGGCACCATGGATGTTACACGTACTCTATTTACTACCTAGTAGTGTCGCCCGACTTCGATGAATTCACGTAACTCAGTGCGCTCGTGTTCCTCGTACTGCTGAAAGTACCATGCACCATGTACTACGATTCCATACAGCAGCATCTACGGCTGTAGCAGCCATGTAAACAGCAGCAGCACTTCAACTTTGCAACCGAACTCATACCCAACACTGCGACGAAAAATGCCAACTGTCCGTGTAGCCGTGAGCAATAGATAGTGGTGTGCACACTAAGCCTTTGGTGGCAGAGTGTAGTCGACTACCTTGGGGCAGGCGGCAACTCTCAACGGTAATGTGTCCTAGCTCGAATCGAATGAGAGGGACTGATTTATGTCGTGCGAGGTTCCCAGAGTGTTCCTTTGCCGCATCATACGTAGGGAGAGAAACCCTTCTGAGTGATGACCGGGGGTTGGAGGAGGGGTGCTAACAACTTGGTCAAATCGTGGACGAGAATTTTCCGGTGGAAACTTCCTGGACGTAACCTCCACAGTTGCAGTAGATAGCCCGAGGAACCACCCGTGGGTGTGAGGGGATGGAGGAGGAAAGATACCCCGATGGATACATAGAACGCTTATTTTCGAAACTACCCGTAAGTTTGCTAGTCAGCGCACAGGGGTGCGAACGATTTTCAAAGCGTAATTTCTCCGCAACCAGGAGGTTACCGCTGTCGAAAAGGGCGGGTTTGGAAATATCTCATCGAGAGCTTTCCTGAGAAGTATCAGTTAGCGCTCGCACCCTCCCGGTTGTTGAAAAATTACCCTTTGAAAATCGATCGCACTCCTGTGCGCTGACTCGCGACCTTACGGTACTACAGTAGTTCCTGGTTGGAAAGCTAGGTCGCTGAACAGGTAAGCCTAAGGCGGGAAAGGTGAAATGCTAGGCTGCCCTACGTGACTGTAAGTCTAAGCCGCGGCGCAAGAGGGGTGAGGGCAAGGTTGCTGTGCACGCTTGGCACTAGGTTGTTGTAGGGTGAAAAGCTAGGTTGCTGTGTCACCACCTCCGAGAAATGGTAGTCCGACGGTCAATCATTGCGTTTGACCAAGTCGTAAGCACTAGTCTAGGTTGGAGTGTTGGAGTAAACGGTACGAATGCTGTGAGCGCTGACTAGAAGTGAAGACAAAAAAAAATCGTCTATTGTTTTCGTCCATGTGTAGATACAGTCGTCCCCGCTTTAAAGACGCTCATCTTAAGTCAACTCCCCGCGATAAAGACGAAAAAAATTCCGAACCATGGTGCCCCGCAGATATACAATATGAGGGGGGGTGTACTTTATATACTGCGGGGGCCCCCAGAAAATCGTGCAGCACACCTGTAGAACTGCACAGAGAGCGGTCTGCCACTGCTGATGCTGCTGCTGCAACCGCTACTGCGTGGATGTGGATAGATTCCTTTCGTCTGCTGACGGTCCGTCTGCCGCCCACACGACAACGTGTGGTGAGCCATCATCGACGACCTCTGCGAAATGGTCTCCAAGATGTCTATGCCAGCCAGCGCCACGGACTCTAGATCCACGGCGCGAGTGTTGACGGACAACTTGTTCGTCGAGAAAGCCTCAGGCCTCACGGACGCTGAAGTGCGTCAGGCAGTAAAGACGTGGCTTAGTGTAGAGGACGACCCAGAGGTGTTGGAGGAAGAAATAGCAATGGAACTGCAGGCTGTAGACGAGCAACTGGCCGGCGTAACCCTCGATGACGATGTACCCAGCGAAGAGGAAGACGACGACGGTAGGTCAGAGTCGTGCGTGACAACGTCGCTTACAGAGGCCGACGTCCGCTTTCGCCTCGAGGAGTGCCGCTCCTTTTTGAATGCGAAAGGGAAGGACGGCGAGTACAGCGAAACGCTGTACCTTCTTTCGAGGACTGTGCATTCGTTCACTCACGAAACTCAAGTCAACCGAAGAGCGAAGCAGGGGGGTGAGGTGCAGGCCACTCTTGGCGATATGTGGGGGCGATAGTTTTTTTTTTCGGAGGGCATACAGCGATGGGCTCTTTTTTTTTATTGCTTCATCTTCACCGATAATTTAGCGTTGATGTCCATCTGAGTTTCGTGTGTAGGGTGTTTGTGTCTCTATCGCTTAGGATATACTGAAGTATCGTGTCAAAGTTGGAACCGCTGTGGTGAAGGATGTGTCGGTGAGGTTTTCAACATCAGGAAAACGAGAAGAAAATAAAAACAACACAGCAGGCAGCAGTCGCCACACAACCGAGAGAGTGCACTGCAGTCATAACAAAACTATATCCCGCAACAACCCACATGTCGGGAGCATATTATTGCGGGCGGTGGCGCGGTAACTTAAAACATGGTTTATAATATATAAATATATATATATAGAGCATTCCACTTTCAACCACGGCTACGTTGTGAGCGGTCAGATTTATGGATCCTCGTTTCGTTATAAGTTACGTGTTGCAACGGCGCGTCTTTTGATGTATGTTATGCCTCCATCGGCCCCGGGGGTGGTGCGTTATCGTCCCCGGAATCTTAAAGACGATTCCCCGCGTTAAAGACGCTTTGAAAAAAAAAAACGCTATGCGTCTTTAAAGCGGGGACGACTGTACCTGAACCTGCGGACGGCTGCTCGGAACAAGCCTCAAAGCCTCCGTACTGTTATGTGTTTAGCGCTAGGGGGACCCATTTTTAAGCGAGTACTCTCTCTCTCTCTCTCTCTCTCTCTCTCTCTCTCTCTCTCTCTCTCTCTCTCTCNNNNTCTCTCTCTCTCTTTTATCGCTCTAACAAGAAACTTCCAGGACACTTCCACGAACCACGGATTCGTTATCCTCCAGTCTGCACTACAGCAGCAGCCGCGGTCCACAAAAAAAAACGACTTGTAGGCTTGTTACACGAACGCAAAAGGAGCCCGGTGTCCAGTCGGTTTTAATCCACTTACTGAAAAGAGTTCCACACATCCCTTTCGACTGGGGTTATATCTCGAACGGGTAGTCTTTCTGCGAGGTCCTGTTTACTTTGTAAGACCCGACTGTTTTACTATATGGTATGTAAAACAGACCTCCGCAGTAGAGCCTACACTAAACTCTGGTATTTATATAGTATATATATATATCGACCAATGCTCAACGACGGTGGTGGTGAAATATCAAAGTGAGCGTCGACCCCAAAATTGGCGATTCTTGTTAGAAAGCAGCAACTTCTGCACATCAACCATTTCGCAGTAGGATTCCTGCAGCAAGGTGTTTGCCCACCACGCCGATACTATCGGGTGTATGGTACCCTCTTTGGTATTGTTGTTTGTTTGTGACCACGGAAAGCGTCCGCGTCAGTACGACCAGCACGGATACTAGAAGATGCCAAGCGTGTACCGGAACGGTTTTGAATGTGAAGGCAACAACAACAACTACTACTACAACAACAACAATTACAACGACATCAACATTTTCGCGCTCTTCACTGATAGGTGCTGGCAGCACGCGGCTCGCAGACGCACGCCTTGATGGAGATATTTTCGGAGCCGTATGGATTGGACAAAGCGAAACGGTATGAGATCATCCGCACCGTCGGCAGAGGCGCTTTTGGCGAGGTGAGTTCCGCAGGAGGCACTCGCGGACCTTCGCCGACATCGAAGCAGGCGTGGTCCCGCTTTAGCGGTTACTTGTTTAGCGGGATGCTCTGAATCGCGGTTCCAAAATCTCGTGGCAACTGCTGCACCTCGGTCGTCAAACTTCCACATATGCCTGCCAATCCGGTTTAGCGGCGATGCCCTCAATAGCGGTTGTAACATGTTTTCGACACGTTGGACCGCTAAGCTGGGACCATGAGTGTGGTAAAACTGTAAACCACTACTGCAGTACCGGAATCGTCGGGCAACGACGGAGGCAAACATTCAAGCGGCAGCCAGCAGCAGTGCTCGTGCTCCCAATGCATTCTACATCGTTCTTGTCGAACTTGATGCCCAGCGCGGGTACAGAACGGGCCCGCAGTTGAGAAATCATTTAGCTCATAACTTTTGATCGAATTCAGACAACATGGCAGAGATTGACAGCTTCAGCGGTGGATCGTAGAATTAACTTTGCATGACAACATGTGCTCGACACCCTCATTGTTTGTTTTTTTTTGACGAAATATGAAAGTGAGTCTCCACTCGATTATGATGATTGTTATCTCCGGGCCCGTTCGGCAGGGTGTGTTCGAGGCCGCGTGTGCGAGGGGGGGGTGAGAGATGTATCGGTGGTATTCCTGGCCTTGAGGTTTCTCACTTCGTCCCGGAGGGTTTCCACCGCTGTCATGTTCGCGGCTATGTTGTTGTCAGATGAGCGAGTGTGAGTGTCAACAACCGACCATAACCACAACGCAATAACAGCACCACCGCTATCATTGCGAGTAGCATCGGCAGCCGCGGCAAGGTGGCGAAAACCGGCAGCAACCGCGTGTGGTCGAGCATTCCTTCGTCGAGAATACCGTCTACGCTGTTCTGCCCTAGGTCCCCCTTTCCTTTGTAGGATACGGATAGCGCTCGGGCTTGTGAACCTCAAGTTTTGCCGAGGCTGGGAATATGTGTTCCTCTTCCGCGCCACTAAACGGCCGCCGAAAAGATGTAGGTTCTTATCCAGGCTCACAAATGGTGCCCATACTCTTACGTTTTGATGTATGGCCTTTGCTGCCAAGTTGTTGAGTGCAGGCGCTACCTCAAGTCCTTAGGTTCTTTTGAATACTAGAAAGTAAACATAACTTCACAGACAGAATACTCGTCGTGATATAACCTCAGTCGAAAGGGGTGTGTTGAAGTCTTTTCAGTAAGTGGGTAGGTTTTCGAATGCTTTGATTTCCTACTGCCTTAATCGCCAAGTGCTTATGTGCAGGCGTTATCTTCACATCTTCTTCCCCTCTCTAATTCACCTCTTGCTGCTGCGTCGTGGATACCTTCCCCCCCAAAACCCGGACGAAACTGCCCTCGAATGCCTTCACAATCCGCAATGTAACGGATACTGTCCGTAACCCTAACCGTAAACCTGATCAGGTGTTTCTCGCGTGGGACACACAAACCAAGCAGCGAGAAGCACCCCATCTCCGCGCAGGGGGATACCGTGATGCAGGCATGGGCGAGGAGGGGGGTGGGGGCTACGTGGCTCTCAAGACCGTAGCGTCGAGGGTTTCGTCGTCGTCGATGTCGTCCGGGGGGCGGGGCGGGCTGTCGAAGGGGCTGTTTCGGGAGCTGAGAGCCTTGCAAATGGCGACGGAGTGCCCGCATATCGTCACCTTGCTTGACGTATACCCCGAGGTAAAAAAAAAATAAAGAGGGAGGGGGGGGGAGGGGTCGGGGGGGCGTACTCTCATGTTTCGCATGCCTCAGCGGTTAGACCATTGACCACGCGTCCTCGAGAACACGGAGCATTGTTCCCACAGGACCGAGGTGATAAAAAATTAGGGGAGGGGGGGGTAGGGTACTCATAGTCGTGCACGCCGTAGTCGTTAGACCACTGACCTCGCATCGCTACAAAGCCAGGACGGAGTACGCCGGGTTCTCACACCGGACCAGGCTCGCACATCACCAAGCGCGAAGCGCCGTGAGGTATTCAGCGAGTCGCATGAAGGGTGCGCTGCATCCTGCTAAGGGTGTTCGGTATCTTGTGCTTACTTCCTTGCATACGGATGACAGCTGCGTATGAATTAATTTATTTTCTGGTGCTTTCACTTCCAGAGACAGTTATAAGCACTGTTAGGGGTGTCAAAGCGGAAAACTTTCTATAGGAAAAAATTCGAAAAAGCGTCTTCGGATCTTGCTGATGGAAAATCGACCAACCAATGAAATTGCACGGAACCGTCGGAACCTCCCGAAAAGACCTTCTGACGCACACGCGCGAGGGCGCGGCTCGCCTGTGTGCTTTGCGCCCTGCTATGGGGCACAGCACAACACCATTGCGCGGTCCCACTTTAGAACACATGCCTCATGACACACCCGAGCAGCAGCCGGGCGATGAAGCGACGCAGACACCTGCCGCCGCCGCTGCTGCTGCTGAGAAAAACAGCAGGAGCAGCGGCGGCGGCGGCGGCGGCGGCGGCAGCGAGGTTGAGCCTGGCTCTCTTCCACAATTTTCTTACTTTTGACCAACTCTTCTTTCATTTCCTTCAGCGTTCTCTCTACGACGGTGAGGCTCCCGCGTTCGATAGCGCGCCGCGTGTTATCTTCTGCTGACGCGGCAACCATACTCTGCCCCGTCCTCTCTTCAAACTTCTTTTTGTTTTGATTCAGCTTTCGGGCAGCGCGCTTCCTGCTGCCGAACGGCGCGGACCTCGAATTTTTTTTTGGGAGGGTCTGCTGGTGTGGGCGCTGCAGCCCCACTGGAGGGGCCGTTTTCAGACTTGTAGATCTCGTAGTTGGTCGATGCGATTCGGATGCGGTTTGTTGTGTGGTATTGTTGTAAACCCAAGGTAGAGCGCTGTAAAGTCGCTTTCACGAGAGGAGCAAAGGTCGCCTTGGGCGTGGAGCAAAGAGCCCCAAAAAACATTTTTTTTGGTGTTTTTCGTCCGCCGTTTAACTTGAAGAGAAAACCGAGCTTAAAGTTACCTTTATTGGACCTGTGTCCAGGTGTGTGTAACGCATGAAGAGCCATGCTGCTGTCTGGACGCAGAGCTACCTGTACAAACAAATTGACTTGATGTATAGTTTATTCAGTATTAACAGCGGGATTCTCAAGAACCAAAAAAAGAACCAAATCCGCGTGTCCCCCTCAATTTTTGCCGACTGGACCGGACGTTTTTTTGGCCCCAAATTCCGCCGCTTTAACACCCCTAACTGTGTAACTGCTTCGAGGGTGGTAGTCGGGGGGGGGTGTACTCATAGTCGTGCATGCCGTAGTCGTTAGACCATTGACCTCGCATCCCTACAAAGCCAGGACGGAGCACGCCGGGTTCTCACCGGACCAGGCTCTCACATCACCAAGCGCGAAGCGCCGTGAGGTATTCGGCGAGTCGCATGAAGGGTGCGCTGCATCCTGCTAAGGGTATTCGGCATCTTGTGCTTACTTCCTTGCGTACGGATGACAGCTGCGTATGACTTAATTTATTTTCTGGTGCTTTCACTTCCAGAGACAGTTGTAAGCACTGTGTAACTGCCTCGAGGGTGCTTGACCATTTTAACACAACGTGGTGCGATCATCCCCCTTGCGCGGAGTGAGGGTTCTCCACCCCGCACAACATGATCTACTCGACCACCATTATGGTTACCGCCAAAAAAAAAAACGGAGGTAAAAAAAAAAACGGTAACCTGGTTGCCGAGTTCACGACGTGAATGGGCTTGTTTTACAACGTCGTTGCCAAGCGACGAAAACCCAATCCCGATGGCAAACACCGATGGGGGGACTTGTCTTACAACGTCGTTGCCAAGCGACGAAAACCCAACCCCGATGGTAAACACCGGAGGGGTGGGGGGGTTGTGGTAGGACCAGACGGAAACAAATCAAGTCTTATTGAAAGCAATCGAAGTGTACCGCCGTTGTTAGGGCGAGATGACATTACAGGGCCCCCCTCCCGAGCGAGAAATAAATTAAGTCATACGCAGCTGTCATCCGTACGCAAGGAAGTACGCACAAGATGCCGAANGTCCCGGCTTTGTAGGGATGCGAGGTCAACGGTCTAACGACTACGGCGTGCACGACTATGAGCACCCTACCCCCCCCCTCCCGAGCGAGAGCACGGGAGCAGCTGCACCTCGTGTTACAAAAAAAGGTGATGGGAGGCCCGGTTTAGCGACCCCCCGGCTAGCGACATGCCCTGTGGACAAGCGACCACAAAACCGCGTGGTATCCGCTGCTGGAGCCTGATTTTTAATTGCCATTTCCTCTGCAACAGCGACCACCTCCCCACACTAAGGGGTTAAGGGGTCTCTGAACCGGGCCCTCCACTGCTGTATGATAAGAATCACTGAAAAGACTGCCCGTTTGAGACAATACTCCAGACGAAGGGTGCGTGTTGAATGAAGACTTTGCAAATGTTTGTCGTGGTGCATGCATCGACGACCCGCTAACGGGGCGAGCAATCAAAATTTCTCAGTCCCGGTCGGGCTGTGTACAAGCGGGAGTCGCTTCTACAGGCCCTGCCCTGCTCTGGTACCCGCGACGAGGCGTCACGGCTTGTGTGTGTGTTTCTGTGTGTGTACATTGGTGACGTTGACGCTGGCACCTGCAAGTTTTGTCACGTTTCGACGATGTCTCGGTTTTTCACGGTGCTTGACTGTCGTCAACGCGTTGAACGATGAACCGTGGTGAAATTCTGTATTTCGCCGGTAGGAATATGTGACTGTACGTGCCAGCGCCCCCCCTCCCCACCTGATTTTGATTGACCGAATAAACGCTATCATTTTCGACGAGAAGTATGCATGTGCATCTCACGACCCCCTACATGCATGCGTGTCCATCTTGCGACCCCTCTCTATTCCACCGGCTTGTTTTGGTGCGATCTGGCCGTGTTCAGGGATCGAACGCTGTTCTGGTGCTGGAGTACATGCCCTCGGACCTCGCAAAGGCAAGTAGGTACGTGTTGTTTCTGCAATTGTCTCTTTCATGGTGATGTCTGCAGCAACCATCCAATGTAGCTGGTGCTGCTGTTGGCGTCGTGTTCACGCTGTCCCTGTTTTCGTTTTCGTGTTTATGTTTTCGTTTTCGCGTTTATGTTTTCGTTTTCGTGTTTTGTTGTCGTTTTCGTGTTTATGTTGTCGTTTTCGTGTTTTTGTTGTCGTTTTCGCGTTTATGTTGTCCTTTTCGTGTTTATGTTGTCGTTTTCGTGTTTATGTTGTCGCTTTCGTGTTTGTGTGCCGCGGCGGTCGCTTTCAATTGGACGGCTCCCGTACTCCCCTTGAAGAGATCAATATCAAGACCCACGCAGTAGATTTTATCATCAGATCGATTTGTCCTTTTGTGTCTTCTTGTCCTGTTCTCCCAGGTGTTGGACGGCTCCCCATATCCTCTTGAGAGCAATATCAAAGCCTACCCAGCAATTTGTTCATCATTTCTATTTTTTTTTTTACCTTCATAGTTCTTCTCCTTTTTTCTACTGTTCCCCCAGGTGTTGGACAGCTACCCTTATCCCCTTGAAGGGAGAGACGTATCAAATTCTACCCATACATTTCATATCATGCTTTTTTTTTTCATTTTTCTTCTCCTCTTCGCCCAGGTGTTGGACGGCTCCCCTAATCCTCTTGAAGAGAGTCATATCAAGGCTTACACGACCATGCTCCTGAAGGGGCTAGCTTGGATGCACGCCCACGTGAGCCTCTAGTGGTGATGGCATGCACGACTCTTAAGTTAGCTTGCACGTTTTTCGCGTCGTGTGTAGGTCCGCGAAGCATTCGCCACGAGCACAAGTTGTGGCAGTTGCACCAGCTTTTGGGGGTCCCTTAAACGTTCTTCATGATACGGCTTGTGGTGTTTTGGGAGAGAGAATCGGAATGCTCGTTTGCCCCCAACGGAATACCTGAAACATACATGTCAATTGCCGTAGGCCGCACGAGATGCTACACCCCTGGGACCGAGTTGTTTAGCTCGTTTACTCCACAACGAAGAGCGCATACGAAGATGAAATGATTCGTTCTCGGAATGCTTCTTGACCAGACGGTTCCACCGCCGCCATGGCACCGTCTCTGTTTGTGTTGCAGAGGTAGTATAATAGTCGGGTTTGAACACCGTCGGCGGGAGTGAAGCACTCCGACCCGACCTATTCGTGGAACGACAATAGGCAAAACATCCGGGAAACGCGAGTCGGCGTGGCGCTACTGTACATGCTACGCAAGATACCACCCTGGATCGTCAGGCCATTTTAAACAGAGCACTTTTTTTCCAAATATTTGGAATGTTTCCAAATTTGGAAACTTTGCGCGGCGAGTTCGAAGGCAATAACTTCGGAAACTTTCCAAAAATTTGGAAGTTACCCTTCCAAAGCTTTGGATGACTTCCAATTTTTTTGTTATTTGGAAATTTGGAAAAAACAGCCGTGATTAAAACAGCCCTTATCCATAGGGCGGCTTGTCGCTAGAAATTCACGGGGTGTTGGAGCTTCACTCGAAACAAGAACTGATACCGTAGGTGACATGAATGTAAGATACCACACCCCCCCTGGGGCCTATCTTCGGAGTTCGATTGCTCAACGATAAAGAAGGCGTAAAAAATCTGATACAGTTTGTGTTCGGAAGGTCTCGCCGAAATGGTTCAAACGTTGCCGTTTTCGGCACCGTCACTGGTTTTGCCGCGGACAAATCAGGCTGTACAGTTCAACTGCTGTACGTATGTCATTCATTCAACCTGCTGGACCGGTCGCCCCGGTGGTCTAGTGGTATCCTCGTAATCCGCTAGTCGCAGAGGTCGTGAGTTCGAATCCCCATGGGGTGAAAAGTTTACGAAATGTGCAGGTGAAAGCGAAATATAGCTGACAAGCCCTCGTGAGTACCAAACTTCGACGGTAGCACCGTTGACGAGGGAAAGGGCTGGCTGGGCCCTTCTCGCGATAAAAATGAAATTCAGCACGCACCGCAGGAGGAAGGTGGAGCATGAAACGAAGTAAAAAGAAGAAAAAAGCCCCGGTGTTTACCCCCTCCTCTGTGTGGCCCTGCATGGTTGTAGTTGTACGAAAAATTACACTGAAAAGTGTAGTACTCTACATACGCTGGAAAGTGTAGTACACGTCTCACCACGAAAAATGGGGGCACTGACTGTCGCCATAATAAATAAATAGGACGAAAACACACACACACACACAACACACGGTATCGTGGTGATGTAGGGGGAGGTAACTTGGAAGGCGTGCATCGGGGCCTACAGCCGACGAAATGGAGTTGTTTTTTGCCGAACCGCAGGGGTTGCTTCACAGGGACATCAAGCCCTCGAACCTGCTGCTCAGCGCTGGGGGGGTGCTCAAGATCGCCGACTTCGGGCAGACGAGGGTGAGCAAGCGCTAGCTTCTGCCGCTGCTCCTGCTGCTGCTGCTGCTGCTGTTGTTGTTATTGTTGTCCTTTGTTGTGTTTGTGGCTGTTACCGCGTCTGAAGCCACTTGGCATTGCTTAGGTGCCTTTTCGTGTCCTTCTAGCCGTCGATTGAACATTGGCCGCTGCTCTGTCCTGCTGCTGCCTCTGCTGCTGTCGCTGCTGCTGTTCCCGTTATCCTTTGCTGTGCTCCTGAGCAATTGCATTCTTTTTCGTAGATGGGCGAGAGATTCACTCCGTTTTTCCTGAGGTTATGTCATACTCCTGCGCCTTCTGTAGCGAGTTTGTCTGCGGTCGCGGCGGTCTCGTCCGAACAATTGGCGGACCTATTATTGTGCCCTTCTTTGCTACGGGCGAGCTCGAACGGCCTATCCCCCCCCCCCCC